GCGCTTTAAATGCAGCCAGAAGATGTTTTCTAATGTCTGCTGGCTTTGTATTATGGTGATGCAGTGAATGAAGTGGTCAGACTTTGAGCCTCCACAAGTGAATTTTAAAACAGTGTCAAGGTGGACATTTAAACAATGATATGCCAGGATTATAGGACCTGGCAAGTTCCATTTTTTATCCCATTAATTACACTGACCTAATAACAGCATGTTACAGTTATTCATGTTTTTACCAGGTCTGCATAATCAGTCATTTAGATGTTGGAAGGAAAACACTAACATTTATATATTCACATTTTTGTTTTATTTGCCAAATTTTGTTTTACTTTTTACTTGTAGAGCTAAAACAACTAATTGATTAATCGCTCGACAGAAAATTAATCAGTAAATATTTTGATGATCAGTTAATCTTTTTTCTCTCCGATTCCAAAATGTTAAGATTTGCAGCCTTTTTTGTATTTTGTGATAGTAAATTCAGTCTCTTTGGGTTCTGGACTCATGGTAAGACAAAATAGGCAATCTGAAGATGTCATCTTGGGGTTTTACAAAATTGCGATGAGCATTACACTATTGCATTACATTTTATAGACCAAGGGTTTTCACTGAAAAATGAATCTGCAGATTAATCAAAAGTGAGAGTCATTTTTAGGTACTGCCCAATAAATAGGGCATTTTTACACCCACCCACCCCCGAGTTTCCTAAATATACATTTTCAGTCTGTCAAATGGAGTCTGTTGTCTTTTTCAGTATAATGACAGTCAGAGTTAGTCTGAGATGCTCTAGTACACTGACAGCTTCCCATGCAGTCAGAGGTACTTCCGTAATCGCTTAAGAAAAAAAAAAGTATACTGATGCACTGTTCTCAATGACAATTTGAATTGAAAGAAAGCTTCACTTTTAAAAATCAGCAGCATTTCAAAGGCCTGACTGCATGATCAGAAGTGGAGCACAGGCTTGCTCTTGTCCATTTTAGGAAGAGACTTTGAAGACAAACATTTCATCTCAACAAACTTGACATAAGCTGTTTAAATGAGTCCTCTTGTTATTCATAACAAGGCCCTATAATAGCACAGATGTATAATGTATTATTCATCTTAAGTTTCCCTCGGGTTAAATATAGAAACCTTACTCACTGAAACTAAAGCTATGACTAATATTAGACCATTTCTTATGACGTCCACCTCTTCGCCCTCTCCATCAGAAGCTCCCCCTTTTACTTCCCCTTTTTCCTCACAGGATCCAGGTTGGTTGATTATTAAAAGCTATGCATCGCTTAGTATGTAATGTCCATTTCCTTTGTACCATTAATGTCAGTGCCTAACGCGTCGTCCTAAAATTACATTAAAAATATGTAACAAGACAAATTAAGTCTCCAGATAGTAAAAAGTAGAGGTGAGAATACAGCTTTACATCTGTATGAGCTATGATGAGGAAATGTAGTTGATGGGGAAACAAACACTTAACCAAAACAAAAGAGAAATGTCAGTGATCATTAGCAACACAAAAGTGACATCACTCCCAAACTGCAAAAATGCATGGACTATATTTATCGGCAATGCAGACGGAATGCAAATATTCCAAAGAAAGGAAATGGGAATGTGCAATATGATAACGGCACTTCCTGCTGTGTTCTCTGATAGTTGCGAATATAACAAGTTGGTGTCAACACTGCATATCAGTCCATGAACACAGTATAAGAACATGCACAATATAGCACTAGATCTTTGTATCATATTCAGTTTCAGTCAGTGCTTCACCTGGACATGTTCTACCATGTTCTCTCTATCACAGCACCTTTTTAATCCATTTTTGAAAATACTGTTCCAACAGACTGACTGCAAGAAAATGTCTGGGAGCTTAATGTACCAGCTGACACACCCTAAACCACACCATGCCAACAGGTGGGGCAAAGTCAGACGAGATAAATCCCTACTTTGTGTTTGTAAAGTAGATCTGATCCTGAAAAGGGTATGGCTGTTTACTTTACAACCTCTACAGTTTAATCACATCCTTATCAGACAAACTTTGATCAAAAGGAGCAGTTCAAAGTATAATATTTTACAACGAAAAGGTGCGTTGATTCTAGAGTGTGTGTGTGTGTGTAGCAGGTATACAGACATATATACAATAGTTTACTAGGGTTTCAACCACTTATTTTTATTATTTTCTCGATTAAACATTTGATTTAGAGAACGAATCCTGCCAGTGACACCAATGAGCCACTTCCCCTACACAGGCTCATGTTTCACAGCCAGCAGCACAGCTAGAGGTTAGACTGGGCAAAAGACACCAGACAGACGCACTGTTTCAGTATTAAGGAAAGATGACAAAACAAGGTCTTAACAAACCTGTGAACTCAGTTCTGTTGCTCCTGCTGCAGCACAGGGGCTCATATCTAGTGTTTTCTGATCTGTATTTTCTCCCCCAATTTGTATACCTGGCTCCAAGCTTTAGTTTTAGAATTCATTTTACAGCACCCCATTTGACCCACACCTGCGTTTCTCTACAGTTTGAATTATTTACAAGTCGAACAGTGCTGTAGGGAACACGAGTGGCATTTTGCCCCAGCAGCTTGAGGTTTTGCCTCAGGGGGGAGAGCATGTGTTGCTTGTAGTAGTTACGCATACAAAAGACGTGTGTGTGAAAAGACGCAGTGTCAAGCCTCTGGGCTAAACAGGTGTGTCCTGTCAACTGAACTGTAGAGATAGCGCCACCTGTTGCTGTGTTTTCTGTCAAACTTGAGAGGAATAACCAAGGACACCAACAAAAAGTCAACATATTGTGAGAAGTAGCTGGACAGTGTTTGTTGCGCCGCCATCTGCTGCTGTCGCCACCTGACGCTCAGCGTCGAGTCAAAGCAGCCCGTCAGTGAGTATTAATAAACCTGACTTCCCGTTACAGTGAGCCCACAGTCAGCCCATTCCAGAGGCTATGAAAAAAAAACTCTGAGTCACCACCCCGTCACACAGCTACAAGACTCCCAGAGTGCCATGGCAACCAAACACCAAACACTGTCTAAAGTATATGAGATAAAGCCGGCCCAGGCTGGAGTGAGTTATTCTTTTTAACCACACATTGCGTCAAAAGATCTGCTTCCTTTGGAAAACAATATATCTGCAGGAGCTGTTGCTGCTTTTCTTGCCAAGTAGCTGGAGAATTAGAAGCAGCACAGTGACATGGGGGATACTGTGGAGGTGAACACAAAATGTTATAATACTGTTCACTTACTGATTCCACATGGCCTTTTATCTGCTGCTCGCAACAAAGTAAACATCCTCATCCACCTACAGTAAGAGCAAATTTACACACCTTAGATTGATGAGCTTGGGACAGTGTCACCACTGACACCACAATGAAGGTCAACACGTCTGCAGAGTATAAATGAGCCACAATAAAAGGCACATTTCCTGCAGAATCTTTAAAAATGTTTTCTACTTTCTACACCCAGCTCTGAGCTACACCCCGTGTTTGTTCCTACTGTGCACACATACTGCTGTTTCAACACTGAAAATATGCCTTGTTGAAATTCAGGCATGTGTTGAACGTTTCTGTCCCTCCTCTACTCTCTAAAAAGAGAATCTAAATAAGCACATGTGGTCTGGAATCTAAGTAAATAAACTGGAGGGAGTACAGATACTTAGTTTAATTTTCTCCCTTGAGGTGCCACAACATTAACACATTCCTCGGCAGCCCTCACTACTGCAGTAGTCTGTTCTGCAGACATTCATCTTAGTATCTGAACACAGCTGAGGATATTTCATCATCAACAAACTGTCAACCTAAAGGTGAGACTGCTATTTATTTTTATATATATAGTTAGTAGAAAAATATAATTACACACCAGTATCTGCCTTTAACTCACAATACAATCACAATTTTTCCCAGCTTGAAGGTCTAGCTGCCTTCTTTGTGACTTTTTCCTAGTAAAATATTACCTTTATTGATGCAATTGAGTCCTACAGGATCTAACAAAGCATTGAGTTTAAGACATCTGTGGTACTATAAAGTGATTTTTTCCTTTGTTTATAATAAATAGAGATGATTTGTAAAATGTTACTACTCTGGGTGTTTCTGGATCCATGATCTGTGTGTGCACATTTATTAATTATCTAACAGCATCAAAAGTGCAACAGACTACATACGTGAATTCTAAGCTTCTGTCCATAGTGTCAATACAAGTTATCGCATGGAGCTTTAAGCAGTTCAGTTGTGTCAAACACTATAATGAAAGACATTCTGTCATTAGGGCAGTACTTATACCTTAAAAGAGCAGGCTGTGTGTTAAAGGTGGAGCCTGTTTCGCTGGAAGTGTGTAATTCCCAACATCCCCAGGGGCTTAAAGTGACATAACTGTATTTGCTAACGGACAGGCCATGCACACTTAACCACTAGGAATGTTATCTACAGTACTAATGTCAGGTATGTCTCCACACTGCATTCCTAGTAGAAAATTAAGGTGTAGCACCACCTCAGCTGTACTGAACAGAAGCAGGTGTGAAAAGGAGGCATAACAACACAAAAGGTACAATTATAGCATTCGGAACACGTTTTCAGTTTTGGTGACTGAATTGCCAACTTGTTTCATACTGTGGCACAAAGTAAACATTATTGGTGAATGTGAAGAGCACATAATCCACATGCATCAAGGCCACAGGACTATTGTGGGATCACTTGCAACAGACAACAACAAATAAATGTTATGTCTTCAACGCTGCCACACAAGATTTATGGGTGGCTCCTGGTGGTTCTGCTGATTTTGAAGTACAACTGCATGAAAGCATGAATTATTCTAATGCATTTATCAGTGCATTAAGATAAATGATATGTTTAGAGACATGCACAGAATGCTAACTACATGTTGTGTACTGTATGGTTAATATATTATCATACTATAAATATAATAACATGTACTGTATGAGTAGTCACATCCACTTTGTGACATCACAGTTATAACAATGCCACTCCCCCCCGAAGCTCCTCCCCCACATGGTCCTCTTACCTGGCTTTGAGCTCCTTGTGCTCCTCCCTTATCTTTCCCAGCTCCAGCTGCAGGCGTGCTCGCTCCTTGGCCACCTGGTCCAGGGTCTTGCGGGCGTCGGCCAGCTCTGCTTCATAGGTAGCCTTCATGCCCGACACATCACGAGTGACCGAGGACTCCGACTCAGTAATACGCAGTCGCAGAACAGCGTTCTCCGACTCCAGTGAGCGCACCTTATCAATGTAGACAGCCAGGCGGTCATTGAGGTTACACAGGTCCTCCTTCTCCTGCAGCCTGGTGATGCGGGCCGGGGAGGTGGCACCACGGCTGGTGCGTTTCTGGCTCGGGGTTTCCATGGTAATAATGGCTCAGCAAGAGGTACAGAGGGGGTGAGTCACTGGCTGTGGGGGAGGAGGGCGAGGGAAGAATAGTTAATGAAAACAGTACAGTATCTCAGTATCTTTATTTGCTAAGCTGTCTTGCTTAGAAACGCAGTGCACCAAATCATGGGCTGACTCACACATTAAACTTTAATAGAGTTAAACTGAAGAAACGTTCTAGTCTTTCATAACCCTGATCCCTGTGAGCAGTCCGCCTTCAGTGCTGGGTCTGTTCACAGTTCTGCATGATAATAAGGATCATTTTTCCACAGTCAGTAAGCACATCTATAAAACTTCATTTAATAACTATCCTCTACTGCATTTTCACTGTGTGGGGTTAAAAGTAATTTGCTGAGGCAGAGCTCGTTGACAGGAATGTGATTTCTGTTTTGCTAGCTTTTTCTTGTTTTTTTAAGAATGGATACAAACCCCTAGTGTTTTATAAAAGAACGTGTTCCTACATTTTTCCTGCTTTTAGTGCTCCTGATAACCCTTATTCACACTGGTATTTTCACTGCAAAGTGTAGCACACTATCATAACATAAGCCTTGCTGTTCTCTCATTTGGCTCGATTAAATTGTTTTAGGGGTAGTTAAGCCTCTTTATGCAGTTCAATCATGAGCAAACATAATTCCCACAAACACCAACCCCAACCTTCAAGTCACACACAAAAGCCAATTAACCATTTTTACAATTACTCTTAAAATATACAGCTACAGCCAGTGCCACCAAAAATAAAGACAAACATTCCCTTTGTTAAAATGGAGGCAAACTACAAACAAGCTTCTAATTACTTCGACTAGTCTGCATTGTTCTGCAGTGATCATCTCACCCACAACCACACACACCATACCAGAGTACTGACTCATAATATAAACAAATACTGCAAGATGCCCCGATAAGGACATGTATCCATGTTTCAATGTGTTAAATGAATAAAAGAGCAGTTTTTTTTCCACAGATGATACAATCCAGAATTTTCTTTTTATCTTTGTATCAGAGAGCTCTATACTGCAATTATGGATGAGACTTAACAATATTAATAAACGTATCAGTACAGTTATTATCAAATGCCACTGTGACCAAACAGGTGTGACTTAAGAACTGTTTTACTTTTCAGCAGCTGCTCCACTCCCAACCTAATAGCCCTTTCCAACTAAATGGCGGGAAAGCCTACTCGAATTTTGTTCAGCAGTGGGTGGACGCACCTTGCCATCCATCCCCTCACCGCCCCATTACCAAAAGTACACGCAAGGACATGCACGCCCATGTGGGCGGGATGGCGCACGCATACATTCACATGATGCGAGCACAAGCCCACAGGAGCAAACCCATACACTCATAAGCACTCTCTGGACTAACTTTGAATAATGAAGCATCCATTTAAGCTCCCAAAATGTGGCAAGCATTAACAGGTGCTGTCTGAAGTTCCACTCTTCAATAACAGCATGCAGTAAAATGAGCTATAACTTCTAAAAGTTACAAAGTTGTTCCACACCACTCCCTGACAAAATGAAAATAACTTTGAGCTGACTAAACAAGTAAAACAAACACCATATTATGAACATATTTTTGCACAACAGTGACACTGTCTGTCAGTGAAACCAACACAAGTCTTACAGGGAGACAAAAAGCTGTGGAAACTCTCAAAACCTTACCTCGGTTAAGTGAGAACCTCTCGACTGCAGCCTGCTGAAAGTGAATGTACAGGACCTTTCCAGAAGTTTATCTACTGGTTTGAGTGTATGTGAGCTGGTATGAGTGTGTGTACCGTACCCCAGAGGAGCGTAGAGAAGAGGATCCTTGAATAATGCAGCCTTGCTCTCTGCTAGTGGGTGTGTGTGCCTTTGGCTCGTGCCCTGAACTGCTCTCCTAGCTGTCGCTCACTGCACATGTACCTACTGCTGAAGAGGGAGAGAGAGGGCGGGAGCACAAGAGAAGGGAGGGTGGGGCAGTGAGGAGGAGCCAGGCTAGACAGAACGTGTGTATATGTGGACACAGAGCAGCTGCTGAGCTTTCTCTCTCCCTGCACTGGTACTATCTTTTCCTTTCTCGTTTCACTCAGAGCCCCCACAGACTGACCTCAGCAACTGGTCTGTCAATAAAATCCGGTGACACCGACAATACAGAACAGATCCCAGGTGGGTGAAAGTGTGTGAATGTGCGGATTTGACCCTGCTCGTCCCTGCTGCTATGAAGAATATATTCTTAACCCACTTTTCTGGTTGACAACAGCTTTGACAGCCGACTCTAAAGCAAATACATGGAATTTTATAAAGCAAACAGAAAATCCTCTCTGCTTCAGAAGGGAAAATAGATGACCTTGGAACACACACACAAACACTAAAACACAGCACTGCAAGGTAATCAAATAAGTCCAAAGTACATAGAAATCATTCATCACCTCATTGCAGGATTCTGGTGTTATCCATGGCAGAAAAATAACCTGTCCACTGAATCCAAGGAGGGAAGAGTCCACAAATCTCTTGCATTACATTCCCAGTGAATGATAGAAGAATTCTCACAAGTCATCTTGAAAGTCGAAAGGTCTGACAGTCAGAACCAAGTTGTTTCTGGTTTTATATTTTTTCTGTCAGGGTGGAGTTAATGGAATGACAGGTCCAATCCACTTCTGATGGAAGGAAAAAAGATGTTTTGTGTGTGAGTGTGTCTCCTCACCATGGAAATTAAAGTTATACTATTCATGTGTGCGTGTGTCTGTGTATGTGCATGTGGTTAAACAAGGGGCAAGACAGAATCTCTGTTTTTGGTCTTGGGGCAGGCTCAGTGGCTAAGGGAGTATCCTAGCTTCAGTGTGGCCTTCCAGTGGAAAGGAACAGTCAGTCCCTGAAGCTGCCTCTCTGAGTCACATATCCTTACACAAACAGCTCACTTGTTCAGTCTCCACCTCCTCTCTACCTCCCTCTTTCAGTTTCCTTTATCTTTCCATCTTATGTTTTGTGTTTCCATGGAAGTCACACTAAGACAAGAATTCCTGGCTGGCAGCCCAAACATCTCACTTCAACAAGCTTTTCAACATCCCTCCAAATCTTCTGTCCTTTTCCTGTCTGTGTGCACAAACAATAATTAAATCACTTCTACAAGCAAGGGACTACCAGAGCAAAACATTTCACCTAAAACAATGCTGACATGCTATAATGGCAATAGGGCTGCAAGTAATGATCATTTTCATTCATCAATCATTTTGTTGTCAGAAAATTGACAAAACAAAAACAACAACTAATTTCCCAGTGCCCAGCAAGACATTTTCAAATTGCTCATTTTGTCCGACCAAAAATGCACAACCCAAAGGTATTCAGTTTACAATGACAGTAAAACTGAGAAAAGCTTGTACCAGCAAATTTTTGCTTGAAAAGTGAGTCAATTGATTAATCAATTATAAAAATAGTTGCGGATTAATTTTTATGTCGAACAACTAGTCCATTTACAGTGCACAGTGATGCATTTCCAACGGCTGGATCTGTGCTCTTATTAGTCAGGGTACTTTTCTGTAAAATTACTATCCTACATACACATTGTAAACCGTGAGACCGACACCGAGAGAGAGTTAAGAGTTAAATAATGAGATGTGGGAAATTTAAAAAGTGGATCATTTTTCTAACAATACACTACTACCAATGCATTAAAGGCCACCAGTCTGGCACACAGTTGGGGTCTCAAAGTTGGAGCACTCATCCAGTGCAAAGACAGGAGCGGGCATGACCGAATGTTACGCAACTCACCAGACAAGTCAAGTACTGAACAATGTGTTAGTAGTTACTTTTTACTGTCCCCGTTTCACTCCTCGTCTTTCTCGCCCTCTCTCTCTCTCTCTGCCCTCACAGCATTCCAAGCAGGCAGCAAAAAGCAAGGCGTGCCCATTGTGTAATTTAGAGGTTATATTTCTCCATTAGGAGCTACTGGCTTAGCAAAGAAGAATTTCAGCATGAGAAGATTTGGTGAGGGAGGGAAATCTCTTCTTTTTTTTTTTTCAGAGGCAAGCAGGCCACAATAAACAGTGCACTCATTCCAGTTTCACAACCTGAGGGACAGCTTGCACACACACTGCAGTACATATAAAAGCTCCTCCTTTTATCCCTTATCAACTTTTCTCCATTTCCTGCACAGACGTACAGTATAACTCGTGTCTTGATTATTTTTCAGATAAAGAGGCGAAACAACAATGACTAATTTATATAATTTAACAATTCACAAAATTTTTCATTTGACACACCACTACAGTAACTTACTCAGAAACACGTTAACTGCCCTTAAGTGTGCTTCTGCGTTTGCTTTGTATCTCAGCAGCAGATATAATTCTGAAGCAGTCTCTCACTGTGTTATCTCTGTGCTGTTCAAGAGACCATTGTTCACACATGTGCATTAATCATTAATAAAAGACTGTTGCCATATCTCTGTCCAAGAGTTCTGAACAAGAGCCTGATATGCTTTGGAGAGAGCTTTGTTTGATTTTTAAAGTAAAGCTAAATAATAGTTTGATATGCTGTCCATTTCTAAATGTATAACATGTCAAGCAGTTGTTGTTTTGTGAGCCTTTGTTTTGCTTACCATGCAAATTATATTCAGCATGGCTTTCATTTTATATTTTTTTCATAATTGTGCAGGGAATGTGGAACAACTATTGCTGAGAAAGGCAACACAATGTCTTATCTTTCATGTTTTCCTGGGTGGGTCTGAACAGATAAAAACCATGACAGAGGAAGGATCAGACGCTTGTCTCATTACTTAAATCAGCAACCTGAGGAAGTAAGTGCTTTCAGGGAGAAAATATTGCCCTTTTCACTCCACCACATGTATTTAACAGCTACAAGTTGCTTTCAGATTAAGATTTTAAACACATGAGCATATAACTGATAACTTCAACCATCCAACAGTATTTATAAAATGGGTAGAATAACCTATATGTGTTGTTTTATTTATTAAATTTCCCAATGGATTAGGGAGGTGATGCTATGGTGGAAAAGTCGGTGAATAAGTTTCCTGTCCTTTTTGAGACATTTTGTGACTGCTCCTAATAATTCTTCTTAACCTTTATTTAACTAGGAAAGTCACATTGAGGTTAAAGCCTCTTTTACAAGTGAGGCCTAGTCAAGACAGGGTCAGATAGCAGGATCAAACAGATAACCAAGCAACAATAAGAAACCAATCACAACAACATCATTAGGTACAACATAAAACACAGCAAAACAAGTCTCCACAACATAATTTTGTACAACACGAGAGACAGCACAACAACACAAACATTTATGTATTACATAATACCCTACATAGTACTGTTCACAAAAACATTTTGTATGTGTGTTTTGTTATTTGTTTTTCCTATTTTTAGCATTGTGACTATATTTATGTATTAAAGTTTCATGTACAACCTTGTTGGTAATGGCCATTAGTGGTTTTATATACGTCTGTGTGTGCAGGTTTAAGTTGTACAAGTGTGTGTTCTTATGCCAGCTGGATGGCGTGGTTATGGGTTAACAGGGGAAAATACAACTTCAGCCAGATGTTTATTTGTACTGTTCCACTCTGACATACATTAACAAACCTAAAGAAAATAGTTTGCACTAACCTGTATACACTATACAAATAAAGTTTGATTGATTGAGCACAGCCAGTTTCAAATGCTTCTTTCATGTTCATGCAACACTGACAGATTGGATGGGATTACTGATCCAAATTGTACTCACTAATGTTGCAGCTGGTAAATGCAGGGGTAATTTTATTATTTACTGCAGAGAAATAAAAATAAAAAATAATAATATAATAATAATAATAATAATGTCTTGTAATACTACATCATAACTTATGTGTTTTAATATATTTTGTATTATCAACCTGAAAGTGCAAAGTAACTAGTAACTGAGGTTATCAAACGCATGTAGTGGAGTTAAAAATACAATATTTACCTCTGAATTGAAGTGGAGTGGAAGTATAAAATAGCAGAAAATGGAAGTACTAAGTACAGTACTTCAGCAAATATATTTCTGGCTGGGTGTACATTATAAACTGGCAACTGAGTGTGTATGTCTGTCTGCTTTCCTCATGAATGATGCGGCAGCTCTTTCACAGTGCCTCTCTGGCGCCCCCTGTCTCCCCTGCAGTCACATGTCAAGCCATTCACAAGCACAGAGAAGATGCTAAGCGCCATCCACTGGCTGACAGACAGCATGAAAACTCCTGGGATGTCTCTCAACGTGGGTCACAGAGTTCACGAATTGGCTCAACACCCTGTCTGCCATTCTTGTCTAAAAAATAAATAAGGGCCCAAAACACAACATGTTGCCCACCAACTTAAAGCTTGTTAGGCTACACTGCGACATATACTGACTCAACAGTCTTAACGTCTTACCTTCTCTCTTTGGAAAGGAATTAAATGTTTCTCCAGTCGTTTTAAACATGTCCCGCCTTTCCACGGTCACTATTGACCTTTCAAAATGTCGGCAGTCCAGTTAATCCTGATATTATCCACTGGCCCGGCTTTGCTTTGAACAAATCGGTGAGAGCGAACTCCTCTGAGCCGAGCCAGCAACAAACCGCCACCTGCAAATCAGCACACTTGATTAGGCTGCCAATCTCTGCTAATTACAATGCAGCCTACAGGCGCCACCTGGCGACCATAATTAACGCTTTGGTCGGCTTCGTATTATTTTTAGCTGGTGAAAGCAGGTGAAGTTTGTATGTAATCTCAAGGCTACATAAATCTAAATTAATTCCTCACAGATCCTGTCACAGAAAATGTGGTTAATTCACATCACTATGCAGATACCTGCTATCACAACAATTATCAATACACTTGGCTGTCAGTATCTTGTAGTGACTACAACTACAAATAGTGGTATGAATTGTGCTCTGGGCCCCCTGGAGAGCCCTCAGGGGCCCCCGCCATGGACCCCACTTTGGCAATGATTGATATGCTGACCTGAGCTGGGTTTCACATGAATTGATAATTTAATTAAACTGGACAACCATTCCTCAAGGCAACTATACCAGCAGGACTGCCACTATCAAGCTGTACAGATGGTCCAGTTAAATAGTGCAGACAGTTTAATTCCCTGTGATACGAAAGTCATTCTAAATACAAACAAAAAACACAAATTAACAACTGAAGAGTGCTGCTGGAGATATTTTACAGAGCTCTTCCTGGGGATGCTTATCATTATGTAACAGCTGAACATGAATTTTACATGAAGCATGTTACTGAGCTGAGTAAATTGTTTGTTTACATTCATAATGTTCAAATATTTTGGAACCAGACTGTGGGTCACTTGGAGGCATGATGATCTCTGAGAGAATAAGGCCCAAGAATGTACCCATGCTGGCCGTTACTCTGGTACTAAAACTGCACCTTCAGGGCAGTATTAATTTGTCATTTGAAACTCTGCAATTATTGCATAATCTAACTCACAAAGATGTAGTCTACATGTTTTGATGCGTTGGTACAAAACTGTACCCTTCAAAATGTCCTGTTGGGGCGAACAAACCCACAGAAGGTACCTTAAGAACCACATGTGCAGCTTTCAGAGCACATTTGTCTACAGAAATTGGTCCCAATAGTAAATATATTTCTGACACCACTGGTGTGGTCCAAAATACTAAACTACTTCAAAACAAGTAAAATTTACAAAAGTATCAGTATTATAAGTAGTATCAGCAAAACAGAATTTCCCCTTGGGGATCAATAAAGTATTTCTGATTCTGATTCTGAAAATGTACTTAAAGTATCCGAAGTAAAGGTACTTGTTGGGCTAAATTACTCTTTCAGAGTTTTATGGTATGATATATAAAACATTTAAGATATCATATTTATTAAGTTAGTTCAATTTAATTAAAGTTATTTAATTCTGTTTATTCAAAGGTGTTACACAGGATGCATGCTGGTGGCAATGTGGTAAAAAAAAAATATTTTCATATTTTCTGGACTTTCGTTTATTTGTTCCATTGTAACTCACGCCTCAGGTTTAAAATACTACTGGCTGCTATGAAGAAAGCCATCAGATGGAAATTGCTGCAGCAGAACCCTCCAACAAAGGACAAATGGAGTTCAATTGTCAAAGAAACTGTATGGAGAAAATAATCAATATGTAAAATACTGGACAAAATGGACAACATATATGTGGCTATAGCCCATTACACATGTCATTGAAATACCCTTTTCTTCAAGCATAATGTTGCCCATATCAACCCATTCTTAATGCCTGAAAATATCAAAATGAAAGTTTACTTCGCCAGAATAATCCACTCAGTATCAGTACTGACTTCCATGGACTCCTGAGTACATATAAAAGGAAACAATAAAAATAAGACAATAGAAAAACATCAAACACTTGGTACAGCATGTTCATTAAGAGTACTGGTGTCCAGATTTCAGTGTCTGTTTGAAAGCCTGTAGACTAGTTTTTCCCTGGTAGACCTGTTAAGCTTATTCTAGATAGTCGCACCATGATACTGCAGGCTGCTCAGGAATGCAGCATTCCTTGATACTTAGTGACTTTAAGTAAGGGAGAATGTCTCACCACAAAGGATTAAAAACAACACAAGACAGACAATATTTTACTTTATATACTGTTGGACTATTTAATTGATCCCAATGCATCACATGCTATAAGATAATTGCATGTTTTTATGTAAAATCTGAATCTGCAAAGTAACTGTTAAATATTGCCATTTGGTAAATATAGCACAAGAGTATAAAGTACAAGAGTTCCCTCTCAGATGGGGCAGAATGGCCCCTTTCAGAGTGTTACACTTTTGTCTTACTATGCATTAACGTGTATTTAAATGTTGCAGTTGGAAAAAGTGGAGATTTTTTAAATTACTTTATACACAGATATTTTGAATGTAAAATCTACAAAATAAATGATTTGGGAAAAAAGCACAGTATTTTTCTGTGACATGGTGGAGTAGAATTGAAAAGAAGCATAAAATTAAAATACTGACATACAGTACAAATACCTCAGAATTGTACTTAAGAACAGCAACTGAGTAAATGTATTGAGTGATTTTCCAGCACTGGTATTACAATGTAAGTACTTATGTAAAGCAGATCATCATCATTGTCTAAAGTTGTACTTAAGTACAATACTTGCCTAAATGTACTCACTTTCCATTACTGATGATACATGTCTGAAAATGACATTAAAGAGTATCTACTTAGTATTTTATCCATGATATTTAAAAAAAAAAAAAAAAAAAAAAAGGTAAAGTGCATTAGAGCTGCATCATGTGCAATCAGGTTTGAGAGGGTTTCATTCTAACGAGCAATTCAGTGACATTTTCTTAATTCAAATGTGACCCAATCAGTAATTTTGCAGTGTTGCCAACCCTGAGACTTTTGCAGATTAAAAAATGTAATCTTTCACTGTGTACAGTAAAAGCAATATCTGAATCAACTGACTGTGACATTGTCTACAATACATTCACAATACATTAAAATGACAAATGAATGCCAAGAAGAAAGTGAAGATCAAGCAGGACTCTAGACTTGTAAGGTCTTTGTGACGTTTGTGAGATCACCACCATACGGGAAAGCAAGCAGTGAGGTGAGCCTTACTCATCACTAGGCGTGTCACTGGCTGTACAGCATCAATGTGATTAGAGAGACGAGGGTGGGGGTGGGGAGTGAGAAGAGAGATGACCTAATACCCGTAAAAAGCAATGAAGTCATACTACCTGACTCATATTCCCAGCTGACATCAGCTCTCCCAATCACAACATCTCAGTGCATGTGGATGTGTGTGTGTGTTTGAGTGTTTGTTGTGAAGGGTGAGGTGAGAGTGCGTGTGTGTGTGTGTGTGTGTGAGTGTGTGTGTGGGTCAACAGCTTCATATGCATGTGAGTATTTCACAGCAGGTGACGAGAGACTGTACTTGCCTCTGTGTTTGTGTGTGCGGGGGAAACAAAATCACACACTGTTGTGTGTAAAGTTTAAAGATGGAAAAAGTGCCGACATGTTCATCACACCCAGTAGGGCTGAAACAATAAGCTAGTTATCACAAAATTCATCGACAATGATTTTATAACTGATAATTAATTTATCAAGAAAACGTGTCAAACATTTTCCTGTTCTGGCTTCTCAAATGTGAGGGTGTATTTCTTTTCATATAATTTTAAATTTCATATAATTTTCAATTGCCCTGCGCTGGACTGGCGACCTGTCCAGGGTGTACCCCACCTTTCGCCCAATGTCAGCTGGGATAGGCTCAAGGAACCTGTGATTAGCATTTTTTACGAGTTTATAGACTACACAATTAATTGACTAATTGACAACTGATATATCAATAAATAATAATCAAGAAAATAATCACTAGTTTTAGACCTAAAAACAGCTAATTTTGGGGATAAGACAACACTTTTAGCTGCCTCACTCACACAGACACTCTGGTCACACTGCTCACTGAGCCAATCCCAAAGCATTGTAAAAAGTGAAAAAGCATACCCAATAGGATTGACTCCAATGTCGAATGAAAACCTAGACCTTTGATTAATTAGTGTAATTTTACCACTTTTAATCCATGTAAAGTCTTGTCAAACATCATTCAAAGAAAGGGCAGTTTTAAATCTGTGAGCATAACATACACACTGAGCTTCACTTTTTTTGTAATAAAAGTGATTTTGCTTACTTATTCCAAAAATGGATCAGAGGCCTCAATATCTGAAAAAAAAGAAACTGGTGATTCTATATGAGGTTAAAGAAACACTCAGCTGCTGTGTGATGAGGTTTCTTGCATTTTAATTGTACTCCACCACAACCACAACCTCTCCATCCCCTCTATGTCTCTGTTTTCTTAAATCATTTTGTTTGTTTGTTTGTTTTTGTCATCTTTGCCTATAAGTACCTGTGATGCTGCTGCCCTGTTGAAAAAAATTACAACAAATAAAAACAAACACAAATGAGCAAACAAATAAACAAAATAAAGTTTTTCAAAATACAGGAGGGAAAACCCAACACACCAAGTGACCTTTGCATTTAGCGTTTCATTTCAGCTGATCGACTTCAGGGCTCTCGTCAGCACAATGAGCACAAGATGTGGTATCATTTGCATGAGGTCTTACATCATCGCTGAGAGCCCGTTCACTATGGCATCAGCACGTGGTGCTTAGCCAACATATCCCTTTGTGCTTGCAGAAGCCTCATTCAAGTGACAGCGGGGCAGCAGAAAAGTCTTGAAAAGGACATCTGGCCATGGAAGTCAAAGGGATTCTCAGACATGTCTTTACAGCCTATTAAGCCGGTTCTCTTTGAAAGACAAATACTGTCCATAGGTGACAGCAATATTTGCATGGGCTCTTGGACAAAGAGATTGGTATGTGTCTCTGCGGCATAGTAAACCACAGCATCTCCCCAAAGATGCCAGTCAGTCTTTCATCAGGGGGAGAAAAAGAGAAACAACACTACTGTGATGACCAGATGGTCAAAATCATTGAGTTTTTTTATGTGCAAGTAACATGACCTCAGCAGTATCCTGTAGCGAACACACACACATGCATGCAGAAAC